TAGCCAATTAGGACGCGTTGCCATGTATACGCTAGTAAAATACGCTAATTGTGCTTCCCGGACGGACGAGGGGATACAGGATTACGACGCAGTTATAGTACACCCGCAGGCGATCCGCTACGTTACCGAATTTATACAACAAACAGGCCTCCTTCAACAATTCCGATTCGCTCGACTGGACGAGGAGGACGACGAGGAGGCTCCAGAAATTACCAACCTGCTAGAAGGACTCGAACTACGCGAGGAAGACGATGGTTACATGGAACTTTAAGGGGCGGCCTGGGTCAGACCGCTACTAGTGACGCATACCACTCATGAACCACCTATATAGAACGAGGCGGAAGGAGAGACAGCGTCAGGAGACGTAGTGGGCTACGGCAGGCGAGTGGTAGGCAGTTTAGTTGCGTTGTTTTATGATTTATCTACTTCATTTGTAGGTTTATATGGCGTAAGGGCTCGAGATTCTGCTTCATTCGGCGAAGCGCCTGCATAGCCCGTCGTTTCAATAGATAGGCTCCACCAGGTTAATAGAATATTGATTGATTGATTGATTGACTTCAACCTAGTGTCCTCGTAAATAACCTGTAATAAGAGTCAGTTCTTCATTCCTAAGGTTGTCACAAAGGACAGAAAGTAGAAAACAGAAAACAGTAACACAATAAATAGCACTCTGAAATAAATTCTTTCTTTTAAACTTTCCAGTCGAATTCCTTCCCAGATAGAGATAAACTTCTGTAAAGAAAATTGCCTCCCCAGACAAAGAAAAACCAGAAGTCTTAATTTCTGAAAGACCTTAACAAAAGAACAGAACAGTAAAAAAAAATTCTCCCTAGATTAAGTTTCAGTCTTCGCTTAACAAAATTGCTATTTCAGATAGATCGTTTTATTGTTTATACTGATTTCTGAACTCAAACGATATCGTTCTAAACAGTTTGTACAGAAAAAATAATATTGTAACGATATCTTTGCTCAACTGTAATAAAGAATAGAACAATATTTTAGAAATAAGTTAACACTTATCGCGCTAAAAGCGAAAACAAGAACAAGAAAACAGGCAGAAAACCCAAAAAAATAATGAAACAATTAAACCTAGATAGAAATCAGAAAATAAGCCCGAAAAGTAAGAGTATAACAAGAAATGTTAGTTTAATACTAATATTTAAAGGTTTATTATTATTACCAGATGAACCCTTGAGATCAAAATGTCGTCTCGAGGGACACGAGTCAATCAGATAAGAATATTATGCTAGTTTAGGGAAAACAGATAGGATAAGACAGGGGCAAATGTGTATACCGAAAGAATAGAGAACAAGAATAATACGGAAATTGAAAGGATTAAAGTGAGAAACCATTTGTACTAAAAAATGCAGAAGAGAAAATAAGAAAAAAGAAATCCAATTGCTATATATTGCTTGCATAATCCTGTAGACTGTGTTATAATAAAGATCGTTATCATACCGGATAACTATAATCGTGCTATATACACGAGCCCGCTGTTACCTCCTGAAGCCAGGGGGCTTTCCTGTACGGGAGAACGTTCCGGAGGATCAAGGGATCCTCTGCGGCAGGCATCCAGGAACATTCCTAGGGATCCTGCAGGCATTCCTGCCTGAGGCAAGCTCCAGGCAGTATATAGAGTCCCTGGATTCTCTCTCCTAGATAGCCTTTTCCTCCCTATGGGAAAATTCTTTGACTACGAGTCATAAACAAACTTGTCTTTTACTAAGCTCCTTTGTAGACCGTCACATCTCTCTCCTAGATAGCCTTTCTTTCCCATGGGAAAATTCCTTGACTACGAGTCATAAACAAACTTGTCTTTTACTAAGCTCCTTTGTAGACCGTCACACCCGCGGCAAGTATGTAATGTTAAAGTAGAGACTCTATCTTTCTATCTTGAATAATTAGCATTAATGATATTAGCTGTAATTTTAGGCAAACAGTGGAAAGCCGAAGATGAGAAAATAAAGATATAATTCTATCAGTATACCGAAAACCTAAAGCGAAAGTATACTAAAGAATACCCGGATTACTATTGTTTCTCTTGCAATCTCTCCGAAAGAAAATGCTGAACCTTGTCACATTAATACAGGAAGAACAATCTATTTGTTAAATCCCTTAAGTCTCTTATGTTAACTAATGAAACGTTAGATACTTTAACTCCTGGGATATATACCGAAATAGAGATAACTATAACTATATCTATGCCTGCGGACGACAGTCTCGCCAGTATCGATATACTTATGCTAAAATAGCTATTTGAGTTTGATTATGAGGCCTTCGATATCTTACTCCAGCAGGTGCAGGAAAACTATAGCTGAACTAATAATTTTTTTGAGAATTTTGATTTTTTAGACTTAGTGACCGACTACTATTGATTATAGTAAGTATCTTAGGATAATAGTTAAAATGACAATTATAATTATAATTGTAATTGAAAGAGAAAATAGATTTTAGATGCTTAAGGGGATTTGAGTGAAGAGAGATAAGATAAATTAAATATAAGCTTAAACTTAGTTAAATCAGAGGGATCTAGTTTCGGTTTAAAGAAGCCTTTAAGGGTATTTTAGTCTGTAATAAATAATGCAAGTATAAACAGGAAAATAGACTTAGTACGTTTGACAGGTAGAAAGAGATCAGATCTGTCAGTACGTTTATAAACAGTATCTTTTAATATCTCTTAAAGCTAGTCAGGTATTAAGATTGTAAAAGTATTATTAGAAAATTTAGTAAATACAGCTAATATTGATAGCGTAATAGATTTTAGGGCCGCATTAGATTTTTATGTGAATACATTCTTGATACTTTATTATTTGCTGAATTTTAGGATCAGTTACTTAAAGAAAGAAAGAAAAAGTTTAATAATATATTCGCTCTAACGTTTTCCGTAATAGAATACGCCTAAAAGATTCATAAAGTTGTAGAGATTAATATCAGTGCTTTCGTAAGAGACAGAATCTTTAAAAATAACGTAGACTAGACAATAATTAGATCCTTAGTTACCATTGTTAATCAGATTGAAGGCTAATGTTAGATGAGAATCTACTATCAGCTTTTCTTAGATATTTGAATTGCAGAATTACTCCTGTATGTCTAGACTGAACAGAACGTAATCGATCTTTAATTTATAATTTTTTGACTGCGTATTGATCTGCTGCTCTTAGCATATGTACATGCCCTGTTAATTAGAGTAAAACGAGTAACAGATATCGTACAGAATGAATAACTTTTAGTTATCATTACAAGGACTGACTACCTTTCTGCTGGTTAGCAGCTGATTAAACAGCTAATACGCAGATATAAATACAAATTTATTATCAGTAATTGTACCTTTCTGAATAGTTTCAGTTATATGCGCCGCGTCAATCTCTTCTTTAAAAATATTGATATTGTTCGTAACGAAAATGCACTTGCCTATCGTTACTAGATTCCGGATGCGCACATTGAACAGATCCAGAAAGTTATATCAGAAAAAGTTACAAATATTATCCTAATTAGCTGAACAATAAGTTCCGATAAAGATAAAAGCTAAAAATTTTAAAATAATATAGTAACTTTCTAAGTCTAGCATAGTAGTATTTAGTTCGAGCTAAAAAAATTACTTTATAATTGGGTATCCGCTGATTTACTGATTCTCAAGAAAGTCTTAGAACGGAGTTAACAAATTAGGCAGACAAATATACTAATAAAACTTTTTTTAGCGCAGATAGGAGTACAGGTTATATTGCGAATGTAAATAACTATACTGGAATAACTTATTCTAATTAGTTAGATTTGATCATTTGGCGAACGGGCGAGACGAAGGGCAAACTTTTTTTAATACGTAAAAAACTGAAGTAGCAGTTTTATCCAGGTATTAAAACTATATTATCTTGTGGATCTTTAGGTTAGATCTTGGTTTTCTGGAAGACAACGATATCGGCCTTGAAGATGTCAAATATAGCTTACAGCAATTAATTTGGGTAAATAGATTGAGAATGCGATAATCGGTATCTTGAAGGTACGTTTCTCTCGCTATAGCTTATATAAGAATATGTCACTAGTTAACTAACTCATTAACTAACTAGACACTCAGCATAACAATGATTCGAATCTTGCGAAAAAACTATACCGGATTCTATTAACTGTAATGACGATATATTAGATACAGATATAATATATTATGAAAGAGAGTGTATCTACCGTTCTAAATAATAATGTAAAATCTTATAGTTAAAAAATCACATCTAAAGATATATAATCTGACAGAATTAATCAATAATAACTAATTCTTACAAATACCTTTAAGTGTTGACGCAGGGTACTTCTAAACAGGAACGCAGCACAAGTGATAAAACGAAATATTACGTAATCTAATATTAGGACGCTAACATAAACTATCTAAGCAAATAAATGCAAACAGAATAAAATCACGAGGCTACCAAATTTTCGTTAACTGGAAAGGCAAATTTTTGATACAATCTTATTTTTCTCTCTTTCTTTTTAACTTTTTCTTGTATTATTACAATTAGACAATGTTTGCTCTCTCTATATTAATTATATTCCCTTAACGTAACATATTTTATTTAATTTAACGTTTTACGTAGTAGACTCGTTTATTTCTGTTTACGTTACCGTTTAGCGTCAGTTTAATAGTACCGAAAGTGTGACGGTCTGCAAAGGAGCCTAGTAAAGGACTAGTTTGTTTATGACTCGTAAGTCAAGGAACTTGGTCTCTATTCCGAATGCGCCTCAAAACTGGCCAAATTCCCACCGAACAAAAGTTCCACACCATTTGCGGATATTTGGGCGCAATACGACCCGGTCATCATTGATGACGCAACTAGTTTTGAGGGAGCTTCTAAGAAACTGATCCGAAGTCATTACCAGAGCTGGATTGCTGAGCAGGACTATGGGAGCCACGGCGCGAGGCTAAGAGTTTGTTTGGTGATTGATGAAGAGTCATTACGTGCGTTTCAGAATATGTCATCTCGGGGGGACGAGGAAGAACTTGGCCCAACTAGATTCTTGAAAATCTTAAACGACCTGCCAGAAAATGACAATTTTGACAGTTTCATGGGTGGCTTCATGGATTGATAGAATTTCAACATTCAAATTGGGCCTCCAATGTGTTTTTAGATAGACAAAGACGACGAAAAGTTTTCAGAAGACCAGCAACAAGATTCCGCATGGAAATATGCTATACTATATGGCTAGCAGACCGGTGATGCTATCCATGTCTCAGCAAGCTGTGGGCCTGCAGCGGCACACCTAGCTGAGTGGCCGCAAGTAATCCTATCTGACATAGTAGGCTTCCTGTTTCCATCCCCTCTCCGCCGGCAGCCCTCTCTACTTTGGTTACAGTGGCACCGGAATCGCTTTTCGCGTAGTAACCATGTATGTTTATCTTAGAACCTCAAGCTCTAGTCCACTATTTCAGGCACTGTTATCCGTAAACGAACGTGAATTATCAGGGGTCGATCATGAGAACGTACTCTCGGGCCTTGTAATCCTACTTCCATCATAGCATGTACACATCGTCACATTATCCCATCCAAAATCTTCTTCGGATGCAATAAATTGCTTACTGTGTGAATAGGGTGCCAAGTAATTGGTTTCTCCATGTATGATGGGAGCGATCTAAGAAGGGCTGGAATATAAATCACTGGACTTTTGTCGCAGATACGCCCCATATTCCCTGAATAAAAGAGGGATAGGGACCATAGGCAACGCAATTGTTCCCAAAAGGGTCCCAGCCCATTGGATCCCCATGTTGTTGAACAAATGTCTCGAGAACAGGGGGAAGCAGGCCGCAATCCCGGATCGAAGAATTGTGTTAGCCGCAAGTACGGAAGCGACTCTTCATATCACATGCTCTGTTAGCTTTGGAGTAATTCGGTGCATGAATATGAAAAGAAACCCACAGACTCAGATAGCTGTCGATCAGGTAGTTGATGAACTGAAGAAAGATGGTAATAATTCCGAATCTAATCAAAATACCAGATGCCGTGGGAACGATGGACTGGGTGTATCCTGTCCACCCTAGCCTGAATGGGATATTGCGGTATTAGATTTCTGCTCTCAGGACTGGGATTCGTTCAAGGCCTACCAATACACGCCAAGGCAAAAAGCGAACCGCCTATCACCGCCGGGTAGTTGTTTTTCAGGCACTGCGGCATCATGAGTACGGTTTCAGACTGAAAGAACGAATAATCCTCCGAAAATCTCTCCGATGACCAATGACAAGAATGGCAGGCTAGCTTTTGCTGTGCCCATCTTGTGCCTATCTTGGAAAATTATGGGAAATGCGCCAAGTAAGGCATACATTAACCATAAACGAATGACATGTAAATAGTTACAAGGAAAACTATCAGCTCTGTAAACAAGATATGAGCTGGCCGGAACAGGTATTGGAACACGAGGTCTCGCCAGTTCAAGCTTATCTCTTCATGTTCTGTATGGAAAGCCCAATGTCCATGTCGTCGTTTCAGTGCTTTTGCTTTCTGTGCTAGAACAACTGGACGATAAGTCTCATTCTGAAAACAAGGTAGCAATATGGTCCCGGCCCATCCCATAATTGCAGGGATATACATGGTCCAGCGCCACCCAAGTTCATTGTGTATCCTGATAAACCCGCCCACTATTGGGGATAGGGATGGTCCCGCAAATACAGCCATTGCGAATGCAGTAATGGCTACTCGTCAGTAATAGTCATCGAAAATATTCGCAAAACACGCCGGAATGATTGAAACGGGGCTCGCCGAAAACAGCCCAGCGAAGAACCTGGTGAGTATCAGAGTCTGTACGTCTTTTGCCGTTGCCGTCGCCGTCGTAAAAACGCTATAGCCAAACATGCCGATCTTTTGAGGACATTCACGACCTATTCTCTCGGAAGCTGGAGCCCATAACATTGGACCAGATGCGAATCCCAGGATATATAGGGTCACGCCCAACGCTGGAATAGACAGACCTCCGCAAGGAATTCCGGATACTGTGCCGATTCGAATGGCAGGAGCCGTGAACTACCTATTCTAGATCTTCATGTCTCCACTTTTACGCTGCCAAAACAGACGCTGCAAAGAAAGGTCGGAAGGGGGTTTTAGTTTTTTTCCCCATCATCAGGAAATTATTGAGCAAACATGAAGGAACGGCTGGTCCTTTGATATCCAGTACTTGCTAACTGATTCAAAACAATGCCCGTCATTCAAATTAAAGCGCATGTTGAGTTGCTTTCACAACTGTAATTGATCTTCGGTGGGGTCAAGCCCATCATTTGGGAGGAACATCCTCATCATGACTTGAAGGCGAAGTGGGTTGAGGTGGCGGAGTAGGGATTGTCAAATGCGAAAGCCGAGACGCGAAATGCGAAATGCGAAATGCGAAATGCGAAATGCGAAATTAAAACGCTGACAAAGCGTCACCGCATTAGCCATTTTTCGGCAAACTTTGGGCGAAAAGATGTGGGTACCAACCGTGCTGATAATTTTTCATTTGTCAATTTGGCCCAGAAGCGAAGGCTAATTTTATTGCAATATAGAAGCTTGGAAGTGACGATTTTAAATCCAATCCCTGACTTTTTATGCTGGGCCAAAAAGCGGGTACCTGCAGCTAGGGCGTGAGCTTCAAATATTCACCTTGTATCGATATGGGAATTAATCGAATCAAAGTTCAGAAAACCACCATCCATTGCCGGAAATGCGTGGACGGGGTGGGCTATCAGAGAGTCCCATATCGAACTCAGACCATCTGAAGTCGCATAATACTGCTGATGGGGCAATTGAATTTCATCAAATCCAAGTGGCGTTGGAGAGTTCCCTTCAACAGGGAGAGAGATTTGGTCAGACCGCAACTCTTCCCAGTTTCGAGATTGCGACGAACTTTGAGGGCCGAGAGCCGCTGTACTGGAGATACTGCATCCGGGACCGATGTGAAATGTATCAATCTTCATCAAGGTCGTTCGCCAGACTCGTGCGACCTCCCAAATTTCACTTGCCCGTGATACCCACTCAACCCCCCAGTCAAAAAGCTCAACTGCATTTGGACCCCCAGGTATGATCTCGGGCCATTTCTTGGCGTAATAAAGTACTGTTGTAGCATTGAAAACGCAATAGCATGTAAATGGAACCTGTAAATCTATCCCATGATGAAGAAGTTGTCTGATAAGATGGATAGTGTTGAGGGCGCTTTCAGCCAATTTCTCCGCACTGGTCTCCCACCAATTGGTGCAGACTGGTTCGGCAGAGGTGTTAGTCTCATCAGACCCCCCCTGGGAAGGACCGCCATTGATGATTAAAGGCAGACACTCGCGGTGCAGGAAGATGGATGTTGAGTAATATATCAAATTCACGAAGGCATACCGCTCACCATGTCTGCGAGATAGGAAAGCCGGTAAATGAGAGTCGGTAGCTGAGAAATGCACGCGTGAAGATTGAGCTTCTCGCCAGTCCTCAAGCACCGTGAGGCTACTACTCCAGAATGAGTCGTCTCGCCAGGAGAGCCCCCTCGAGGCAGGCGATCTTTGTGTTCTTTGACCAGAAGAGACCCATCGAGAAACTTCAGACCAGATATTGAAACCCTGGATAATCAGCGAAAAATTGATTTCGAATCCTGTGTTGCCAAGTCTTTGGATTTTCGGGGGGTCTGAAAACTCAAGATCAAGAACTTCCAAATATTTCAAATCATTTTCTGGGCGGACACCGAATATGAAATCTTCATCAGACGACGGAAGAGGCACGTGGTACAGCCTTGAATGGAAACTCAGTGAGCGAAGATCTCCGCATCCGAGCATTGCCTCTGTCATTAAACATGACCATAGTGTCCGTCGGGCCTCTTCAACTTGCGTCTGAAGGACGGCGGGTCTGTGCGTTTTAGACCGGTATAGTCGTGCAAGGGTCACTGAACAAGCTCTGGTCGCCATGCCTGCCTTCAACCATCAGTTCTGGCAATTGCGGAGGATAATGAAGTGAATTTAGAGGAAAATAAGTGATGAAGCAGAGGGTAGAGCACGCACCGTTATATGTCCACGACTGGCCGCCTTTTCCAGAACCCCAATCATGAAAGCTCAGCAACAGTAAAGTCTGGGCGATTGTTATGTCCAAACTGATCACTATCTGGGCAGTTATCTTGTGTCGTAGGTAGGCAGCGAAGTGTTCAGATGCAGCAAGAGGACCACCATGTTCGTGTATCAATTCTGGGATAAACCGCGCACATAAAGCCATGATGCCACAGAACCTCAAATCCAACGGGTTTTTTCCGTAAATGAGTTTGAGTAGCGTAGGTCCATGAAGGAAGCTGAACATGGTAAAGCGTTGTTGAAAAATTTCGGTTGCGTTCAAAACAACCTTTCGATCGAGTCCCAGAAGAGGATCATTGGGAGGAGCAGAGGAGGGTGCGGTGTCCGAAGCCTCCATCATTATAGTAGATACACATGGCAGATTGGTATTGATACTATCGAAATTCCGATCATTGTGGCTGGGGTGATCCCTAAGAAATGTTCCAGGACCTGCATCAGGCCGTGGACGATTTTGCGTACGAACTCTTGCGCGACAGTCTTGGGTCAACTGTGGCCGTTCATGAACCTTTTTCTTAGCTTTCGGTACGCTCAATACGCACTGGCGAATGGGATTTGAGGCACAGGCCTGGCAAGGGGGCATGCCATCATGACGACATTTGATTTTCGATCTGCGGCACCATTGGCAAGCGAGAGTGGTCCTCATTTGGCATGCAGCTACTGTCTTCTGTTGATTTCGAGAATTGTGAACTCCAGCTTCAGAGATAATGATACCCTCAAGGCAATTTCGGGACAAGGTTTCAGATTATGCGATAATCGTCGTTGTGGATGGCAATGACTGGCGCCTGGTATGAATTGATTGAACCGAAGAGGATATTAGTATAATTGAAGAGGTCGCAGTGGCCCGTAAGGTGTGTTCAAGTTCGGCGGTTTCCACTTAAAAGGCTGCGCTCAAGTCTCAGCTGTAGACATGGAAGCGGAATGACCGAGTGTGCAATGGCATACAGTACGAATGCAACTGGACTCTGCTACCTGCGAAAGTCAGGGAAGGGGGAAGGGATGAGAGAAAAGCTACGTAAGAGAAGGAAGCAGGAAGCAGATGAGGCTACCGCCTGCTGGCATCACATGACTCTCCTCTTCTCTCCAAACAAGCGGTAATTTTTTCTGCTGCCACCAAACCCGACTGAAAGGCTGGCAAATCGAGCTCCAATTCCGCATCAGAGAAAACCACCGCGGAAATAAAAGAACCCTTCGTAAATATTGGTCCTCGTTCACTACTCAACTCGCCCTCACGATGGAAAGGCCAAAGAGTTAGAATCTTAGTCAAGGATTGAAGCGCTTCACCCGATGTACAATAAGTAGGTTAACCCAAATGCTTCATTGCTGACTTCTTCATTATAACAGTAAAGGATTTCCGTGAAAAGACAATTTCTAGAATTATACTCGGTGATTTCGACTTACTGTCTCCTTGCCACCGACCGCGATAAAATAGTGGAGAATCGTACGGTCTGTCCAGTCAGCGGGCGAGGATTAGCCGACAACTTGCTTTTTTGGATTGGTGACCCAGGCGAATGACTCTATCTAGATCTGCAGCCAAGGGTATTGAAAGCTCTGGTTATCCTCAAGATGGGGGTGGCCGATCAGTTCAGTTTCGGTGACGCTAATCTAGCATGCGATCAAATCCTCGAAGAAGACAAAACAGCTTGTAGAATGGTACTATCGGCATGTTTGTTAAATCGAGGATTCTCTATCCAGCCGTTAACCACCGGAAGAACAAATGACATTCGACAAAGGAGTACACAATCCGGGGTGGGCGCCCAAAAAGCATGACACATAGCAGCAGATGTTCTCCGAGGCATTTGACAGGATGGGGAATTACCTAGGAAACTCTCCAAGTTCGCGAGTGATGGACGATCCATCTCGGTCCTATTGAAGATGCGATATGCTGCTTACGCCTGAAGTAAGTGCATTTGATCCTGAATCGGATAACCCCAGATACTACGCTAGTAAATGAAAACTTTGATATCTACATACCAGTATATATTACTAAAGGCATATACTAGTTTACATGATTGTATCATGAAAAATAAAAAGTAGAGCACCGCATCTCGTTACCAATAGTTTCCTGGATCGCTGGTAATTTGTGGTCTATCTCCGAGGCCCAAATTTGGCCCAAGGCTCGGCAAATCCGGCCCCTCGAACCCAGATATCACTGAAGATAACACCTGCAGTATCAACGGCTAAGGGAATTTTCAAATCAGAAAGGCTTCTACCCAGGGGGCCATCGGCACCACTTACCCATATTCCCTATCTTCAGCCACATGTCTCCAGAGACTGGAAGGATATCACTGTCAAGCTTTGTCTCATAAGAATGACTTAACTTTTCGGCAAAAGCGACGGTACGAACAAACTTCGCTAGGTGACCATCATCTGAAGGATGAAGATAACTCTTGGAAAAGACTTCGGGCCAGCCCAAATGGATTGGGTAGTTTAAGATGTCGTCGACCTGTGGCTCTGGCATCTTTCGAGATGCCCAGATCAAAAGATCCATTCGACCTTTCATTTCCAAAAGCCGGCTCTTCACAGGGGTTTCAATGTATGGTAGTTCCATGAATGCCTTGAAGAAAATGGAGAGATTGACAGCATGAATGAAGAAAAAATCCAGCTTTAACTCCTTTTCCGGGTTCTGGGCCGTGGCGGTCCAATAGACTGTGTGGAGGTGTCAGAAAGAGATGTTTGGGTTTGAACCAAGGTGCGGAGGGACATACTCGCCGTGTTGATCATTTCCGCAAGCCTTTCCGGTATCTTGTCCTCTGGTACAGACCACTTGCTACAATGGTGAATGATCGTTTCGCTCGCCCGCTTGAGGATGCCATCTTCAAAAACATCTGTGTCTCCGTGCCTAGACGCATTCCTGACCGTTTCGTCGGCGCGCATCTCTTTCATTATCTGCATGAGAGACTTTGCGGAATATGAGCTGGCTGCCGCAGCAGTTGAAGCAAGATCAAAGAATTGATCACTCAAATAGTCTTGATGAACTGAGGCCTGTGCAAGAGCTTGCGCAATGATCGCAGGCTGCTGAAACTCGATACCGAAGCCAAGATGGATAATTGGATGGACAAGACCTGCAAACATTCGGGAAAGCAATGATTCAGCGATCTTATCACCACCAAACAGGTAATCCTTCATGACAGCCGGAACACCCTTAGCAGCAATCTCACGTTGGAAAAAGGCAAGGTAGTTGGAGTAATGTTCCTCTTGGAACATGTACTTCATGAATTCGTCTTTGTCAGAGAAAGACGCGACGATCTTCTCGTCCCGCGGATAAGCGGGCCGCTGACGCTTATCCTCTCGCTCATATTGTAGCTGTATCGTCTCGGGAGACGCCCCGAGAGCCCAGATTGTGAGCATAAAATGCGCAATATGATCTTTTTGTCCGTTAATTACGGCTGCCGCAGTGATAGGAAAATATTGAAAATTTACCGTGAAACTGAATCTCATTGAGATAGATATGGTGATTTTCCATATCATGCTGAAGAACCTCGCTCACTTTGCGCGCGGACGCCAAGCTCAAGTTCGCAGTACAGAATACTCCAGTATTCTCCGGTGTGATCCAAATTTTGGTTGAGGTAGCCATCTTGGAAAGTATTAAGCGATGCCGAGGAATTTTGAACCAGCGGTTGCCAGGGTTTGAACTGAGACTTATATGTCTTTGAAGTCCCTGCCATTTGAATAATTGGTGACGCTTAGATGTGTTATAGGCTGACAAAGGTCCCAGCATTATTCCGGAGGCGAGACCAGTTTTAGGCTTTCGGCTTTCGGCTTTCGGCTTCAATGCCCCACATCACAAACTCAAGCGCTGAATCAAACTCGACAAGTTGCGTCTTTGGATAGCATAACAAAAAAACTTAGTGCACCCCACCACTTCCGCTCTATTGACTACGTTTCTCTCTCATTTAAAATCTGTGCCAAGAAAACCTAAAAAAGATATAGACCTCCATTTTCCTGCTTCACTGCGAACTCTTCCGTATAAGCAAGTTCTACAGCCAAAGAAAAAAAAGAAAAAAAGCGCTGAAACGAAACAAGAGTATTCGTCATGATGGCTAGAAGGAGGCTGTTCTAGTTCGGTTCTGGGCAGAATACAAAACCTAACGCTAATTCCGTTGCAGAAGACGTCGCAGCATTGGATGATTTCTCGGTAAAGGGTTGCTCCACAAATCCGACTAGTTATGACTATCGATGGTGACAGCCATTTCTGGCGCAAAAAGCTATCATTTTCGGAGTCGTTTTCATGGGTCCTCATATTCTAGTTGTAATCATCTAGTCTATTTTCCGTCTGAATGGTGTACGGGAGTTCTATTCTCCTTGGAATGAGCAACAAGCGGATATCGAGTCAAATAGCTTCGCTGGACCATGGCCGCTTCGGGCCTGGGCAACACCAGCGACTCCGCACCCGATGCACATCAACGGCATGACGCTGGAACACCATTCGATGTAGCAAGGCTACTTCACAGCAGTTGCACTTGAGTGGCTCTTCTTTAGATGAATTGCGTCAAAATGGCGCGTAACAGATCCAGGATCATGAAACATCTGGAAACGAACTTTGTCCGGAAGCCCTTCACTCGCGAAGCATTGAAAGCAAGCCTCTGGCTGCTTAGCAGTTTCTAAGTATTCAGTAGAAGCACGCGTACAGAGACATGTACCTTGCATGGGTCAATATCGTGATTAGGGTTTGAAAGAGCATCGGATATACCTACGTTACGGAAGGCAATACAGTACGTTATTCCTAGGACCGCAGCGTGGGCTCCTCGGATGCTATCACTAGCCATGTCAGGGATATACATGAGGCATACACGCTAAGCGGAGGACACGGACCCACATGGCGCATCTGGGTTCCCCTGAACGCGAGGAAGCTATACTCCCGCGGTTGGGGGCCGACGGGCGGTGGAGAGCAGCAAATGCCAAATTGGGGCAAGCGGGATCGACTAAACTGGATACGGGTGCACTTAACCCAAGATGGGTGTAGTGGGTCTGATCACAGTTTTTGGAATAGCGCGGCGCCAAACCGTATCGGGCCACACTAAACCGGAATGGGGCACCGGAGGGCGGGCACCAACCCCGATCGAGAGGGGTGCCGGATCTGTTATCTCCTGAGCCAAGAACTTCCCGATACGGACTTCCGATACGAACTTCCCAGTACGGAGAAATCTTCCTGAATGCATTCCTGCCTGAGGCAGAGCCTCAGTTAGTACATAGAGGCCTAGATTCTCGCTCCTAGATAGCCTTTCCTCTCCATGGGAAAATTCCTTGACTACGAGTCATAAACAAACTAGTCTTTTACTAGGCTCCTTTGTAGACCGTCACATGATGAAGGTCCGATTCTTTCAATCTAGCTGCAAACGGTGGTTTAAATACATGAAGAATAATAAGCAATCTAGCCTAAAAAGGCAGCTAGAAGAGACATAACTTTTGAACTATGGAAATAACAGAAAAATCTGCATAATCCTCGGGGATCGGTAGTTACCAATACTGATGTCCGGAATAGGAAGGTCTCCTATGTAACTAGTGGTCACATACGGTTGACAATCTTGTTACTGAACTAAAAGAGATACAAAATACCTAAGATAGTTAGTGAGAGTAGCATATCCGTTAAATTAAAAAATCTTATCGATTTGCGAATATAATGCGCTCTACAGGAGAAATTATGGCCCCATTGAGACAAGAAGCCCGAACAATATTCTCAATTGAAAATGAAAACGACTCGCTCTAGAAACTGTTAAAAACGTAGATAGAGAGCGAGGGAGAGAGCGGAAGATACGTTTTACAGCTCAAGTTTAATTTTATTTAGTAAAGTTATATTCAATAAATTCTATATTTCAGTCTCCTTTGTTTTCGCTTTTAGGAATGCTAATCTCTCTTTTTCGTTACTCAGTATACCAGTATTCTGTAGATCCTTTATCTGCTCGGGAAACGTTTCATTAAAATGATACAGCTAACTCATATAAAAATTTAGATAATTTATATCGTAAGACTCGCAAGCGATAGATGCAGTTTTTTACATCGTAAAGACTGTCACGTTATAACATCCGAAATCTGCCTACAGAATTGATAGGCTCAGTAAAGTATATTGGTACAAGCTGCAGTCCTAACTATACATTGTATAATCGAAATAGCGATAAAGATTGTCAAAGAAAGACAGGTAGTCTCTAACCTTCCAGCAGGTAATTAGGAGGCGGACCAGTTGGCTAAAGAGGCAGCAATAAGGGGTCCAGGCGGACAGGGGATAGAGATGAACTGGCTGCTGGCGGCGGCCAAGCGAAGGATCCAACATGGGGCCCAAGAGGCATGGTTGAAGGCGTGGCAGAGCGACCGAACGAGTCGCCCTACGAAGCGTCTGATTAAGGCCCCGAGCAAGGGGGCACTCCAATATTGGAGAGGTCTACGAAAGGCAACGAGCTCGGTGATGATCCAGGTCCGTACAGGCCGGATCGCACTGAATCGCTACCTGAACCTGATCAAGACCCGCGGTACTGCATACTGCGGATGCGATCTAGGCACGCAGATCCCCCAACATGTCCTCATGGAGTGCCCCCTATTTTACGAACAGCGGCAAAGAATGTGGAGAGAGCTGGAAAGGAGAGGACTGCGGAGGACGACAGATTTCTGGGGGATCGTAGGAGACGCGCGAGCCGCACCAGCGATAGCTTCATTCATGATTCAGACACAACTCCTGGGCCAGTTTCATGCGGTAGATACTGAAGCTACAGGAGTCACAAAAGAGTAGGATCATCGGGATCCCGAGGACACATAGAGTACTATATCCGGAGGAGATGAAGGACGCACAAACAAGCAGCACGGGTCCAGGCCCCGGGTTGCCGAGTCTTGAATGATCGATTGACCAATTGACTTCGCAGAGACGGAGATGCAGCGAGGATGCGGTAGAGGAGCGGAGGCCCGGTAGGAGGCGGCGAGTTGAGATGGAGTACAGCGAAGCGGTGGCCAAACGTGGGGAGCATGAGGCAGGTGAAGGGTTGACACCTGGCCGGCTAGGTAGCGGCATGGTGATGGGGACCGCCGTGGAGGTGTTGGAGATGATGGAATGGTACAGTGGACGAGGTCGACGAGGACTGACGTTGAAGCGCTGACTTCTATACAATTCTTCTTCAGGCCGCGGCATCTTCGTTTCTCGCTGTGCGAGCAATCCTGCATAGCGGCCATTAGATAGGCTTCGCTAGGACAGGTCAATGAATTCTACTACTACTACTACTACTACTACTACTACTACTACTACTACTACTACTACTACTACTACTACTACTACTACTA